TGGATATCTTTCCTTATCCGTCGAGTGCTTGCTCGCTAATACGCACACTTAGGACCTTAGCACTATCTTATATCAATGCCTTCACATGGTATAAACCAAAGCAGACCTGTTTCTTAAGACATCTGATCAAAGGAAGTCGAAACGAGAACAACAGTGCCAACTCGATGAAACGGCCAAGTGTCTGAAATACGCTACCATATTTGTCCATCAAGTGGCCGAGGTCGCTCTGTTTATTGGGTTAGGTAAGTTCTCCAACAGCATATCTCACGATAAATCGTGTCACACTGGAGGTCTTCCGAGATTTCTCTCTTATCAAAGCTTCGACATATCTCATTCTGTTGGCGTTCTTTCTTATTTTCTTTGGCAACCATTCTTGGTGTTGGGATGTGGATAGTTTTAGGGCTATTCAACGTTTGACGCAACGTTTGGCCCGAGTTACAAGAACTCTGCGATTACACAATAGCTGTGGAGACTACAATATGGATAAGGATTATTTCGATGCTATGTTTGGTAATCTACATATTGGACCAAGGGAGAGTACGCTAGAAAGTTTTTCGGTTAAGCTTTCATGCTGGTCATTCTTTGAGCTTGCGCAGTGCGCTAACAGACTGGAACTGTCCCTCATGAGTACCATGCTCGGCTTGGTCTGGCTCCTTGCCATATAAAGAGAAAAGCACGGCTTGTGATTTGCATCCGATTCCGATGAGTGAACAAAGTCGAAAGTCAAGCAAATCAGTTTAACCGAACTTCTGGGGAGCCCTATCCAAACGCAAGGGCAGCATATTCCAGGTCTTCCAAAAGGCATAGCCGAGCTTTCTGGAATTTGTGGCGCAGACTCGGTTCAAAAAAAAAAAACACGCACACCCACTGGGTCGACTGTCAGGGCCGTCACAACGGTTTGTCAGGCATCCTCAGTGAAGCAAATATCCGAGCGCCGGGTAGAGCTGCAGGGTGACACAACCTTTCAATGTTAAATTGATGTTAGCACGGTTAAAAGCAGAGCTATCGGTGAGACGGGAAAACAAGACAGCAGAAGGGGAGTATGGACCTCCTATTTCTTCTCAAGACTATGGTTTCGTTATCTTAGGGTACCATAGGCTGTTTGGTGTCTTCCCTACACTTGCTTTTACTTGATCAGAGAGCGTCACTGATTTCTCATCTGGTCCATGCTCTCAGAAGCCCATTAAGAATGCAAAGTGACAAGTCGATGCGGACTAGCGGTAGTTTTCGCTGCTATCCGGTCCAACGACTTGTCCGCCACATGGGGTGATTTGCTGCAGCTACAGGATATTATAACTAGTGCCCAGCATGCTTAATTGCGTGAGTTCATGCCCGAAAGGCTGGGAAACGGCATTTGATTCGAGCACGAAACTTTGAAAATATCGAAGCAGAATATCAAATACTTGAACTAAATGCCGTAAAATGTAACTCTGATTCAGAGCATTCATGCTTGGCGGTGCGCAGACGTCAGCGCCCCCATCTTGCCGACATCATGCCACGTCGACCCAATGCGCCATCCATGCGCGAAACTTTTAACTGCTAATCATACGGTCAACTTTATTGTGTCCAGTAAGCCAGATTCCTTAAAAAATGGACCTCACCAACGCACCAGCTGCTACTACGCCATGGTATGATGATGTGACGATGCGTCTTTGCCCTGAGCCGACCACCGCCCATCTGACATGCAGTTTTGCCATTGAGATTCCTCGGATTGTGTAAGGTTTGCCGTTCCTGGCATACGTCTTTTTGCTTTCGGGGTATTTTGCAAGGATCAATACAACGACGTCATATCACTCCTGCTTGTACGGTCACTTCCCATCCGCCAGTTAATATTGCCCCTCTACCGCTCTTCAACTTCACAGAGTTTAGATGGAGGGTAGTTGTCTTGCTCCATTCCCCTACTCAGTAGAGGGTTTCTTGCTTCATAACTTCCCAAAATGGTCAACTCGAACCTCCCTATAGCTGTGCCCATGCTAGCTGGGCTATGGCTAATACCATTGACCATGCTATGGCCAAAAACCCTTCGCCTCTCATGCAAAACACAGGACCCAACCCGCACAGGTATCGCTTGGCTGAAGACAGCCTTTCCCCTGTGGTTGCTGTAAGATGGTTGCCCCTTTCAGCTCGATTTACACGAGTCGAAAGATCAAAAGTAGAAACTGAGCTACTGAGGCAGCGATCATTTTACTAATACTTGTCTCAGGACACTCGTGTTATCCATAATCAGTGCTGGACTATGGTATCGAGTTGAGAAAGTCAAGCCCTTCATTGAAGAACTCGGCAGTGTTAACTGGACAAAAGATCGATACCAAAAGTCTACCGATGCGGCAGGATCACTCAGGTTTGTCGCATTATTCTCACATCACTTGAGCGACATTGTGCTCTTTATCACCCTGAGTGAGATCGCCTGCGGTATATCCTGTTGCAAAGCCTGCAGCACTGGCAGCGTGTTGGCATCCTTCGCAACACGCCTTCGATATATTGTTCTGACTGCAGCGTTTGTCCTCTTCTCCCTCGCAACCTCCCTTATGGGTATTGCGTTGTGGGCGGTCTGGGGAGTTTTGAACGATACTGAAAACTTTTGGGGTGTGCATCGAGGGCTCAGACACTACAATGCTGCCATAGATATCATTATCTGGGCGACTAGTGTCCCAACATTATGCCTTTCCATCATCCTTTGGCGTGAGGGCAGGAATCGTTGGAAAGTTTGCCAGGTGAGTTTCGAAAACGGCTTGCTATTACCGTGTTAACATGTTGACGAGGAAGATAGCTTTCGATCATACTCCTCATTGTCACGGCTGTTAATTTCCTCCGCCTGATCTTGACAGCTGCGACACAAGTCTACATTAACTGTTATGACAAGTATTCTGATGACATGCGGCCCTCTGCCCCAGCACTTTACTGGGTCGTCTGCCCTATTCTCGACTTTTCTGCGATGGGTGTTATACTCGGTCTGCTCTATGTTATTGCAACCCGCAAGCAACAGCATGGTCTGTGGTCTGAGCCACGCGTGTCTGATGCTTCTGTCGAACAACAGCCTTCTCAAGCGCGACATGCCCCAGGTTTCCCAGCGGGCCAGGCTGAACTTACTAGAACAGCAACCTGTGATTCTGCCACAACATATGTCGCAGCTGAAACGACCATGATAGCACCTACAATCCCAACAGGCTCTTCTCAAGCATCGGCTGGGGCTGTATTTGTTCCCTTCTGTCCTTATCCTCCTATGCCGGAGGGAACGAGTACTATATCTGTATCGCTCCCGCAATCGGACGGCATGCCGGCGCCCACAATGGTGTTAGTGCCTTTTCAGCAAGGTTACTTCCTTTATTTCCAGCCACAGTCGCAAAATTCAATCAGCATAGCGGAAACAGGGCAACAACCGTCGCAGCAGCCGATAGCTGATGCATCCAAACAAGAGGGTGTGGGAGATGAGAAGGGAGAAACAAGCTCTCAAAACTGATAGTGTATTTGCACCAGCGACATGAATGATGGTTGATGCCCCCTACAGAGATACCATTGACATTCAATAACAAGAAGGAAAAGGAGGGAACTGATGAAAAGGATATATTTAATGACGACGGATATGGATGGCTGTCAATACCGGATCGCCTGCCTACCTTACCCAGTATGGATAATGAACTAAGAGATTGGGGGATCATGTGAGAGATGGCAATTATGGATTCTGGACCCTTCTGAGCTTTAGAGCAAGACTCATCTGTATTGTATGCGTTTTTACGATATAACGAATGTTTTTCTAATGAGCGACTTCTAGTTCAAGGTGAGAGCCGCCAATGCCTGAGTGAAACTGTTGTCAGAAAGGCTTGAATTCTGCAAAAAAGGTCGGGCTCGTGCGATCATGGATGCCTTTAAATGACAGTTTCGCATGGATGGAACCTGACTCCCGCCAATAAGATGGCAACCCTACCACAACCCCGAAGTGGCTCCGCCGAGACTCCACTGCGCGCCAAATTGGGTTCAGCATCCCATGTTTACCGGCGGCTTTGTCCGCTCCACGGGACTCTAGTGACTCTGAATGGAGCCTATGGCCTCTCAAAATGCACCCAATGCACCATGCACCCCGGAACCTCCCCCAAGCCGGTTCTGCACGACGCAACAGCACAACGCACGAGCTTGCGACTTGTAACGTCCCATAGATCGCAGCTCTGGGATTCCAGCACATAGTTATTCCGGCCCTAATCCTCCTCGCCGACATACAGCAGCGCAGGTACTCCGTAAGCACGTTTCTGCCGTCGCACTCTTACTGATCCCGCCGTTCTCCTTGCCGCTTTTCTTCCTTTCACCTTCGACATCGCCCTCAACCTCGACCTCGCCCTTTGCCGCTGTCCCCTATCGCGCCAGCAACCCGTGAACTCTCGAAGCGCTGGAGAGCACAGCCCCCGGGTCCCTTCCGCTCGTTTGAACCGCAAAACGGACTTTGCCTGTATTCTGGCCGAGAATACGACGAATCAATTTCGAGTTGCCTGTCAGTGCGCAGTCAGACCGATTGTCAACGACTGCTGCCCTTGCGATGTCAACGTAGAGAACAGGGCCTTTTTTACGCACCCAACAAACCGGATCAGGCGCTTTCTACCTTCTTGATTTAAGTTGAGCTACTTCGAAAACCGAACAACACCACTTCCTGCTGATCGACGTCTCGAACACTGCGATTGGTTTGCCGGCAAAGGGACCCGAGTCTGAGTCAACTTCAGCTATTTTTACGTAGCTTCGGGTGTTGGACGACACTGCTTCCCTGTTCCTCGGTCCGGGTTGACGTCCCTCGCACGGCGCTCCTCTGTCCTGAGAACTGGATCTGCGTTGACTTGCGCGCGTCCCGGAAACATACGAGGACCCGTCTCTCTGCATTGACAGACCTGAAAAGCGCGGCAACGCATCCCACAACCCGCAACCCCGGCGGCTTGAAGGCCCCCGCCCCCCAACTTTCCTTTATAGCTACTGGCTGGCAGCTGTAATCGCAGCTGTGCAGCTCTCAATCGTACACGATGGGTGAGATCAACCTCTCTTGTAAACATGACTCTTCTTTTCTGACAAGTTCACAGAAACGACCCTCTTTCCCGTAGCAGCGCTGCCCACATGCGTGACGCGATGCGGTGTCTTGTACGACGTCAACGGAGCCTGCGTGCCTCCAGGAGCAACTAAGGCCGACGCGGCTACCTACAACCGCTGTTTCTGCGCTGACCCCCGTCTCGCCGCCTTCAGTCAGGGTCCGCTCGGAATCTGTGACTCTGCCTGCACAGAGAATCCGAATGATCTGAGCTCGATCCAGGGCTGGTACACCAGCTTTTGCGCTCAAGCTACGAAGGCCGCGACATCGACGGCGCGACCCCAAGGCCAGGACGGAGGAACTTGGTACGCCGTCCCAACCTAAGCGATTATTCGCTTTGCGGATTTCCTGTACCCACCTGACGAAAAGTGGCTGCTAACTAATAAACGTCAGGCTTGATAACCATTACCAGTGGGTCATCTTCCTCGTCATCATGGTCGTCGCTATCGTGGGGATTTGGATCGGCGCCTGCGTCTGGCGGAAGCGCTACCTCCGTAAAAAGGACCGACAATATGCTCTCAGCAATGGCTTTGCCCACACCACGAGTTCCGGCCGCATCGTTCCTAACGCGAGTGCGGGGTCAGTACACGTCCCTACGGCAGGATTCTTCGATCCAGCACCAATTAGCTCAGCAGCTGTTTACGAAAAGCCGCCGAAGGCGAAGAAGTGGGTGTTCAGGGAGCGTACATGATCGACGTGACTACATACCGCCGCCATATATATCCTTCCGATGCACTGGCGGGTAGTAAGGGACGAATGGATAATTCATTCCTGACAGAAACAGACAGCATAACCACCTTGGATGTGCCACCCCCAGTACAGGTACAATGTCGCAGAACCTTAGAGGAGCACCACCTCGTTGTTTTTGTCCATATTCCTCTTGTTTATTTCCCTTAAATCTCGTTCTCTTCTGTTGAGTTACTACAAGAGGTGGATAGGAACGACATCATCGGCTGAAGGCAGGGAAGCACACTTGGCTCAGGGGCGTCATCGGCGTTTGGTCCACGGGGCTGGTTTCTTTTTTTCGAATTTCACACACAAGCAAAAGTCTATATAAGCACGTTTATATATGTGTGTGTGTCTCTTGTCTGTGTACCGTTCGGTTTTTACCTAGCACATGCAAGGCACGGGTCAGGAGTTGGAGAAAATAGCATGTCTTCTCCACCAAGTCACTCGGCCAATTGGTGCTTGATTTCGTGATAGAAAGCTTAACCCCATAACTTCACTATCCCTAGTGGTCCAAACTTTCAACCCAGACAATCAGTGGCCTGCCAAGAATGCACTGTGTGATATGTCAGCGCTTCAAGTGCGCTGTGGTCACCATACAAACCTCGTTGTTCTGGCATTGTGGTGAAGCAAGCTGGTTGAGATGAAAGCGCTCGAGTCAATCCTAGGTCGTAACTGATACAGAATAAGTAACCAAATTAGAAGAAATTCTAATAACAATCCCGTTAATCCCCTTGTGGTGTAGTTGGCTATCACGTTCGGCTGTAAACGATTTACTGATACCGAAAGGTCACCGGCTCGATTCCGGTCGAGGGGACTTTATTTTTTGTCCTTATTTACACCCCTCATTTTTGGCTATGGCCCCTCCATGAAAATCCTGGCTTTGTCACGTGATTATCACACTTGTGAACCCCCCAGCGCGAACAGTCCGCTGCACTCTGCAGGGGAGGGTCGCATTTTGATATATTTTAGAAATAATTATCTGCAGGCACACATGAGTTGATGTAGCGCGGACTCGTATAAAGTCGGCACTGCCTCTTTCCCCTTGCAGAGTCCGCAGTCAGCGCACGAGACCCGGGCCGTCCCTTGGAGAAGGATCAAGACACACGTTCACTACAAAGGCGCAGCACACCAGTCAACTACCTCTTTTAATGGTGTTTAAGGCAAGTCAGCAATGATGATGAGTTAGAGTCAACCCAATCTTGAAGTTGTCTGTCTTATCCATAGTTTAATCTCTATACCTGACCGGTAGTCAATAATAATCATAATAATAATCCGTAGTCATGATGTCTATGCGATCCATAGAGAGTTGAAGAATGCCTGTACCAAGTGTGAACTTTCAAGAAAGTCCCTTGTCTCTCCAGAAAGTGATTGTCATCGAGAAAGTGGGAAAAGCCGCAACTCCATTGTTATGAAGTCCAATTTCGCATCCACCACTCGACAGCGATCATCTCAGCGGCAGCTCTTGTCCCTTGCCCTCGGCATCGAACTTGGCTTGCTCCTCTGCAGCATCCATGTACAAGTCAATCAAGCAGCCAGCAGACCAGGCCTGACTTGGGCACTGTGACAACATTGTTAGTAACATGAATGGAACTTCAACACAGGATCCTCAACCACTTACCGAATCAGGACAAAATTCTCCCGCCTTTTGCGTCAACTCCGTCAACCCAGCCCAGACACTCGTCAAGATCATCTCCTTGCAACCCTTGAGTCGCCTCGTCACTTGCTGGAACGCCTCGGTCCGTCCCTCCTCGGTATCCCGTCCGGTGCCCTTCCCGCGACGCATCAGGTCGAACTTGAGCAACGCCCGAAGGAAGAAACCCGTTGGCCAGAGCCACTCTGGTCCCTGGTGGTAGTTCCGACCCTTGCTGGTCGCGAAATCGTCGCTGTCCTCGCTGTTGCGGTAGTAAGGGCGGTAGTTGAGATCTGAAGGGTCGAGAGTAGCCATGCCGGTTGGGCCGCGTAGTACGGCGTCAGCGACACAAAGTGCGTGCATTGCACGGGTTGGCTCAAAGAGCTCCGGGGCAACAGTCATGGCGATGGGGAAGTTGGGCCGCAGCTGGTAGTCTTCGTACTCCTTGCCTGAGCGGTACAGGTCTTTGTAGATGCCGCGGCGGTTGATGATTGCTGGGTTGACATCATACTTCGAATCGTCTTCAGGGGAGAGCGGGATGTAGAAGCAGCGCTCGAAGTTGGCTTTGATGAGATCGGCCCAGGCGGCAAAAGTAATGTGGGAGCCATCGACCTTACGAACACCGTCGTAAGGGTATTTGCCTGCAGCATGCAGGCTGGAAACCCACTTCAGGGCGCTGTAAAGCAGGCCGGTTATCTCAACTGCCGCACCGTCGCGAGGGGTTCCGGGAATGCCCTTGTTGCCAGCACGTTCGCTCTCGCCCATCTTGTCCATCCACGTGCCGCAGTTGAACTGGTTGCCGCCGAAAACGAAACCGTTGGACCAGTCAACATATATTTCTTGATTGAAGCCTTCGTCACGCATTTGGGAGTCGAGACCAGGACCGGCGTTGGCCTCACGGAACTTCATGCCTTCGGCATGGCGTTGGAAGATCTCCAGGATGATCTCGCCGATGGTGCTCTCCTTGCTGTAGGCACGAGGATCGTCGACAGGGAACCAAGCGTCGTCATATGGCAAGAACCGACGCTTGACCCTCTCATCCAAAATGGCCAGCCCATCAGGGACAAGACGGGTGTAGTCCTGCACACACTGCAAAAAGAACCAGACTGAGTCGCGGGCATTATACCGTGGGTTATTACCGCTTCCGAGCAAGTTAGGAATCATTCCATGCTTCAGGACGCTTGCAAAAGCGCGAATGTGCTCCTTGGCCTCCTCAAACCGCCCAGTACCTAGATACAGACCACGCAAGGAGATGAAGACATCCCGACCCCAACAGCGAGCCCACTCGACCGAGAAGTGCGGCAAACCAGCAGCCAGCGAAGGAACCAGACGGTCGGGATACAAGGACGCGGACTTCACTAGGCCAGTCTGCTGCACGCTAACCATAGCCAGGCTCTTGAGGAACCACTGGCCATTCTGAATGTTGGGACTCATGAGGGAAATTCCCCGTTCGAATGCAGCTCTGTACGCAGTCCTGACCACCAAAGCGAAGTATCGCGGAAGCAAGAAGCTGGGTATGCTCCGGATAGCATCAAATCGCTCCTTGAGCCACTCTGCCGGCTTTGCTAAACGAGCGTACTGCGGCAGCTTTGCTGCACGCTCCAGCCGCCCGACAATGTAATCGAGCGCCCACTGACCGTCACGCAGGTTCTGGCACAGTGGATGTGCGAGGTTGTTCTCCCTGATGATCGGCTCGAGCACGCTCCACCAACCCTGCAGACCGGCATACACGAGCTTGCCATATCCGGGAATGTCATAAACGCCATCACGCCCTTCGCTCGAGTCACGCTCTTCAGGCTCGGACTTGTACAACAGGAAGTTTAAATCGACCAGATCCAACTCCTGCATGGCAGCCTTTGCGCCGGATGTCACAAAAGTATCTAACCCGCTGGAATGCTCTGCGGCTGGGATCCACGTCTCGAACAGGGCAATGCTGCCCGGAGGGAATCTATCGCGAACGGTGATGATTGTTTCGTCACCCTTGACCTCCACGCGAACACCTGGCAGTGCAACAAGTCGGCTAGGCAAACCACGCAGATACCGTTTGTCGCCAAGCACTTCCTCAACAGTCTCCTTGCTATCATCAACCTCAAGCATCCAACTGCCCAGGTGCTTGACCCTGGTGCCCTTGAGATGCACAGGGTTGAACGCCCCATTACCGTTACCATAGCCAGGGAAGGCTGTATGAGCAATGAGGAAGTACCCCTTCCTAGATTCCGGATGCACTCGGTGAACAGTGATGTACTGGTCCTCATGATGGACGTGCGTCTCGTCGTAGCCATCCATGCCCATCAGGGTATGGATCTGGTTGAGCAGCTTCTTGACGCCGGCGATGCCCCCCTGGCCTTCGCCCAGTTTAACCGCATGCTTGGACGACTCCGAGGTGTATAAACGTGTCTCGTTAACAAGATCGATCAACTTGGGGTAGATTTCATCATACCCCATTACACTGCCGCTGGCGCAGTTACACATGCTGACCAAGGCCGCGTTAGGCAGCGTATCTCTGGCGTCTCTCTTCTGCGCAGGCGTTTCGTTGTCATGAGTGCAGTCCATGAACAGCGCCTGAACGGTGACTGGCTTGATGCGGCGGATGATCTCCCGGGTGTACTCCTCGCCATTAGAAGTTCCATTGACCATGGTTCGCACTTCGCTGGTGGAGATCTCATCAACCTCGAAGCTTCCGATCGGCCGTCCTCCGTACCGGTGGACCAAGCGGCTCAGCTCGCCCGTACTCCATGCTTGCATGGCTTCACGGATGAGAGCGCTGAGACCCAGTCGCTTCACAAAGATGTAGTCTGTCTCCTCAGAGCCGGTGAACAGCTCAGCGACGACATACAAGTTAGGCCGGACGCGGCGGGCCTCATCGAGGATATGCTCAGCGACATGGATGGGTGTTGAGTGACAGTTGTCGATCCGGAATCCGTGGAAGTGCTTGGCCAGCATCCGCGCATACTTTGTCATGTGGTCCCAAAGCCAAGGGCTGTCCTGCGGCCCATCGCCATATCGTAGCTTGGTGCAGTCACCCCATACAATGACTTGGCGAAGCAGATACACACGGGATTTCGGCCCCGCATTGTCGACTAGTGCATTGCCGCCCCAGACCCAGCCATTGTTGACCAGGACCAGATCCTCCTTCTTGTGCTTGGCTGTCACCTCGTTGCGTGGCAGACGAGTGAAGTACGTTTCAATCAGGGGGTTCTGGTGGTTGATTGGTCCTAGTTTTGGGCCATGTTCATCAAGACGCATGTATTTAATTCGATTGAATAGCTGCTGGAGGATCTCAGCGACGTCCTTGTCGTACTCCTCGTAAAACTGGACATTGACGATGTCGAGGATCTTGCCCATCGCGGCGCGGACTGCCACTTGGTCGGAGGTGCCCTCGGGCGTCACCTCATATTTGCCGAACAAAGAGGACAAGAGAGCAGCGCCAACTTTGGGATCGATTTTCCTCCTGAAGCGCTCTCCGAGGCGATCCATGCCCTTCAGACCGTGCTTTGTCAGCCACTTCGCCTGTTCCTCGGGGGAGGCAGCACGAAGTGCATCCGGGCCATCTGAACCGAGGGAACCCTCTGGGAAGGTGGCCTTCCCGACAACCCAGGATTCCACGATAGCATCAGCGTCCCGGTCTACATCAAGAACATAGTACTCCCAGAGCCTGATGTAAGTGATGACCTCTTTCTTGATGGCCTCCATGATCTTCATCAAGTCGTCTACCGATCTGAGTTCGGTAGGGAGGCCCAACTCCTCCAACCGGTAGCTCAGCTCGAGGAGTTTGGTATCGAGGAGATAAGCCGACTCGAGCCATGGGGCCGTCGTCAAGTTGTAGCCAGCCTCTGGGTGCTCTTGCAACCAGGGGGTATTGTGAGCGGTGTGGTTGAGGACGATATCCGTCAAGCTGAGCAGGGAGTGGTTCTTCTCTAAGCTCTCGACCAACTGCTCGATGTCTTTCTCTCCGTTGGGGAAGCAAGCAGGATCCCAGCCGAGCTGATCGTACAGACTGTAGGGAGAGTTGGATGCACCCCTAACCTGTAGTGGTGTGAAGTGTACCATATTGTATCCCCGATCACTAATACCCCTGAGATGACGCTCCCAGTCGTGGGGATACTTGCCCATGAATTTGCTGATGACGGAGAAAATTGACAAGGCTGGCAAGGGCAGGGGCTGTCCGTCAAGTGTTAGACGAGGAGCCACATCGATGTAGTACCACGGAGTTTGCTTCTTCTTCACAGGGGTGTTGTGGTTTGTTTCGGCCAAGTGCTCCGCGAGGTCGGGCAGCTCTGCGTAGGTGATGTAGTAGGCATACGCGCCGGCTTCGTAGATAGGGATGGAAATTTCGATGGTGCGATTGAAATCAGGGACTAGTCTACGCGGAGATGTCAGTGCATCTGCATTTCGGAATAATTGTACTGGGACGTTGTCTTACTTGAACTCGCGGAACTTGTCTCTCCTAAATTCAGCCCCGCGCTCGGGGATGTTGACCCAAAGACTGCCATGACAGCAGATGCTCGAGGTTCCCTCGATGGCAAAGCGGATGATGACAGGGTCGCTGCACGTAGGTGCCAGGTAGACGTACTCGCCCGGCACTTGCGGCGACCCGTCGTCGTTGAGGGGCAGCAAATAGACGTCGTGGGAGACCATTGTTTTGGGCACCATAGTTTTGATGGTGGAGATTCCTCCGAGCTCAGGGAGCTTATATTAGCGGTAGAGCTGTCCAAGAAGTTGGTGGATATGGTAGCTAGGGTGGATAAGTTGGGCTTCGGCTCGCTTGGCGATATAGGTACCACAGTATCCAGCTTATGTTGTCGATTGGCTCGCCTTGCGTCCCGCCTTCGCGGCTGACGAACTGAAGACGAGTTCGTGTTGAGATCCAATTGGCGGTGTTCCTTCTTCACTTTCGCGACCTTCCGAAGCAGCACACGAGGCACAGGCACAGAAGAAGCGATCGGATCAGTCTGTTTGACATTCGAGCAATCTATAACAAATGGTTCCTCAAAGCAGCTATCCGTGGAATACCAGTGGGTTCAGGGCGGATGATGATCACATCGATCAATGCCAAGGGGCAATTAAGGTCGTTTAGCTGTCGCTGACGCGCGTAGGTTTGTTGGGGGATGAGGGCGAGAACAAGGCATAGAGGGAGGGGGGGGGGAAGGTCAGAATAAGTCAGCTAACATATAAGCTTGCTGTTGGTAGCGGATGGATTCGTAGAGAGGATGTCTGCTTCACAGTGGTAACCAGGTTGTCGGAACCCGGGGGCCAAGTCGTCCTTGTTCGCTTCGAGACAGCTGATGCAGGGCAACTCCGTCACAGGGCACTTGACGTCGCCTACTACACCTGTAAGAAGTTAGGTACCTGCCAGAAATGCAAGTCGCAAGCTGTTGCAAGCGCCTACGCAGCAAAATCGGAAACTCCCAGGCCGGCCCGTGGGTTTGATACATGCCGGGCTGACTGAGGTGGATGTTACTGCTGCCATAATCCAAGCTGTCAACCTATCAAAATGCCCAGGATGTCAAACATTAGCACATGTCGTCAGCGGGGCGCAAGGCACAGATGCGTGGCGGCTGGACAAGACGCGCCAAGAACGGCCCAACGCACAGCTTTGAAATTCAGTTGGTTTCATTTTTCGAGTTGTAGTTTATCCAGCATGGCAAACCACCGGGCATGTTGCAGTATTGGAAGAGGCCTCCTGGAGACTCGCCGCTATTGATCGCAGTTGTTATCGTCTTTTGATATCGCCCGCTGGTGCATCTTGCCCAAGTGTTGAGAGAGTGCTACGTGCTTGGCTGGCAGCTGGCTGCATTGCTACCAGTTGGAGATTGCCCCTCCATCTTTTCAACTGAAGATGTCGGTGGGGCAGAAGACTGCCCCGCTTCAGCTGACCCAAGTGTTCCTCGTAAAAAATCACCACTGATTGACTCTTAACCCATCGCAAAATGATGCACTACCTATATACCCAATTTCCAGATCTTGTTTTTCATCTCGTCATTACCAAGGTGTGTTTAGAGCTCTGCATGATGCCTAAACCTCCTCTCGTCGTTTATCTACACCTTGCCCCGCATATGCCCCTCATGGATCAAATGTATAATGACATCAGCGACAAGCCAGTCTTGGCAGCAGCCGATAAGACTGTTGCAGCCTTTTCCCGTACATGGTGTGATAAACACAGGGTGCTGTCTCAGAGGGATAAGTCCGCCTGGGATTTGTAACCGCTTGGACTTCTAAGAATGGGCAGAGCAGGCGAACTGTATGCTGTGTTTTGGTCTTATGGGCTTCGCGTCGCGGTGTATCCCGAGGCCCTGTTACCTCGTCAGAGCGGCCCCATGCCTCTTCCAGCAGCCGGAGTTGAATCTGGTGGTTTTGCGCAATTCCGGTGACCTCGGTCCATCCAGCAAAACATCGAAGCATATGCATTGCCCCAAATATGACCTTGTGTAACTTGAACTTGCAACATTGCGTGTGGCGATTCCCAGTGCCCACCTTGAGACCCCCAACCCTCCGGAAGTGAAGACGGATACAGTTTCGAAGTTTGGAATGGAGAGACTCCTCTTCTTGATGCCCAATTGCGCTATCCATGGCATCTTAGTCACGAAATCACACGGCTAGTTCAATAGTCCTCGACGATGTCGTGCATGGGAAGAGCCATCTTCCTAAGCACATGGAACACATGAATTCTCTCATCCGAGGATCTGCAAGCCCAGTCTAATGCAGGCTATCACCATAACCCCAGATCGAAACGGGGGAGCGCCCCGAATCCCGTTCATCTCGCCTCTGCCCGCCCACGGACAACAGATCCGTCCAGACTACATCTACGGATGAAAAAAAAATGCGAACATGCCATTGTTCGCCGGGCCCGAACGGCCCCGAGTATGCCAAGACCGAGGAGCTGTGATTTAGAAGCAAGCTGATGGGCACTTCCAAGGCCTCGGAATGCTGCGCTGCGATCCTTGTCCAGGATGCATGCATCGGCGGGACTTGCTGAGAAGAGGACAAATTGTGAAGCTTAAGATTGATCGGCCTGCCGAAACATCACGCTCGAGCACGATGCAGCAGCATGCAGGGAAGCAAGGGTAGTTGGTGAGGCCAGGGAGGATCGAGAAGTCCGTAGAATGACAATGTGGTCCTGGTCGGCCCTTTTGCCCGTGTGGGGGAAGACCACCGCCAGGCTTGGCAGGAGGACGCCCTCGGCGAACGGAGAAGGCGACAGGGATCGACCGAGGCCGACCAGGACGACAAAGGGGCACAAGTCTGCACGATGGTCGAGATGCGCCTGTCACAAGCTCGGGCAGAAATTTCGTTGAGAAAGTCTTGGCTGAATGTGGAAGGCGGGGAGCGAATTCTGCCGGTCTTTTCCCACAGTTCCCCATGGTTTCCCACCACTTTGCGTCATGGGTCGCGGAACCGGCCAACCGTTGGCAACGGATTTCCCCTCCCCGCCGCAGCGCTAGCACCTGGCACCGCATGCTGACCCGACCGCCCAGCCGACTGTTGACTGAGAGTGACTGGCTTTGAGATTGGCACAAGTTGGGGCAAACTGGGGAGTGATTCCATAGGTAGGGTGTGAGATGTGAGCACAGATCTGATGGCGGCGGTGGTTTTGTACTAAAAGGGAAACTGAAGACAAAGAGCAACTTGAGTGCGACGGTCCAGGTCGGTGTGAGATGATGCGAAGCTTGCGAGGGTGCTGTAGCGGGCGGCCGACCCTCCTGTTAAGTCGATATAAAGGACCCGACTGCAAGCCAGCACAACGGCATCCAGGACCCGACCCTTGGTCACAAACGCCAGCATTGCCAGTGCCAGTGTCAACAGTGTCAGTCTCCGCGCCAATCACCGCGCAGGACTTGGTTTCCTCGTTCCATCTCTTTGCCAGCAACTTCTGTTCCAGCAGTCCCAGCAACAGCAACCGTCGCCCACCGACCGCATATTCCTCGCCCAACAGCCCCAGGACCCTGAGGGCCCTCAAGACCCCTCGGACCCATCCACGGGCAGCCCATTTCTCCCAGCATCTCCACTTGCTGCTGCGCTGCACATCCCGGCTTCCCCAGTCCGCACGATCCCGCGAGCCACTGCGTCGTTTCGTGTCCCATCTTGCTCCTCAAATCAAGAAATCCTTTTGCCTCTCGCCTTCGTCCCTGCCTCAACATCTCCCGAAGCCTGTAGCGTGCTTCCCGCGCCCAGATCAGCCTGCTACTAGCATTCGCTGCCGCTCCCTGGTTCAAACCGTTGCCTCCTCCACTCTCGCCCATTCAGCCCGATCCAAAGTCGATCAGGCAGACAGCAGGACAACAAAGGCAAAAATGGCCTCGCCGCAGCGCAAACATAAGGTGACCGTGATCGGCTCCGGCAATTGGGGCACCACGGTCGCCAAGCTAGTCGCCGAGAACACAAGGGAGCACCCGGACCTCTTCGAGGAGGAGGTGCAGATGTGGGTGTATGAGGAGGAGGTTGTCATTCCGTCCAGCTCGCCGCACTTCGACCCTGAGATTGGCGAGAAGCCCCAAAAGCTCACATCCATCATCAACACGCACCACGAGAACGTCAAGTACCTGCCCAAGATCAAGTTGCCCACCAATATCGTGGCGAACCCTTCTCTAGTCGACGCCGTCAAGGATTCCAACATTCTCATCTTCAACCTGCCCCATGAGTTTATCGGCAATATTTGCAAGCAGATCAAGGGCAAGATTCTGCCCTATGCCCGTGGTATCAGCTGCATCAAGGGCGTTACGGTGACAGATGATAAGATTGAACTGATATGCGAGTTCATTGGCGAGCAGCTGGAGATCTACTGCGGCGCCCTGAGCGGCGCCAACATCGCCAGCGAGATTGCCAACGAGATGTGGTGCGAGACGACAATCGCCTACAACACCCCTCCGTGCGATAAGCGTGCTGTCAACGGCACCAACGGCACAGCCAACGGCGAGCCTGTCGAGGAGCACCTTGACTCTCGCGGCCAGATCATCCGGACAAAGCTGACCCCGCTACCGCACGTATACCCTCCGCTGGATCATGCTGAGATCTCGGCGCTGTTCAGCCGGCCCTATTTCACCGTGTCGATGGTGTCGGATGTCGTGGGCGTGTCACTGGGTGGTGCGCTCAAGAACATCGTTGCCATCGCCTGCGGCTTCGTCGAGGGTCATGGCTGGAACATGACCGCCAAGACAGCTGTCATGCGTCGTGGTATGCTTGAGATCATCCAGTTCGCACGCGAGTTCTACCCACAGACCATCCAGGAGAAGACCTTCTGGGAGGAGAGCGCCGGCTGGGGTGACATGATCGTCAGCTGCACGTCGGCCCGCAATTGGCGGTACTCCAAGATGGCTGTTGAGCGTGGTGTGCCCATTGAAGAGATCGAGCGCACCGAGCTCAACGGCCAGAAACTGCAGGGCATTTCCACTTCGCGGGAGGTCAGCAGTTTCTTGAGGGCCCGTGGAGCGGAGGACCGGTACCCGCTTTTCAAGATGGTCTCGGGTATCATCGATGGGAAGGTTAAGGTGGAGGATATTCCGTCTCTGTTCAGGAAGTAAAGTGTCTAGAGGTTAGACAAAGGAGTATTTGTGCAGTAGAAGTGGTGTAAAAAAAGAGGGGGTGGGGTCGGTCTGAATGCATAGAGTGATGGTCTGGAGTGCGGTGCAAGTACGGAGTACAAAACACTTTCTACGACATGATTCAGGTACTCTCGGTCCGGTACAGGTAGCGTGACAACCCGGCATACGCTTTAGATGAAGGAAGTACACAAATTTAATATACACCAACCGTCGCACACATGCTGTTGTCGTGATATCCAACTGCTTGGTATCCAACCCCTGAACGTCTGGTCGAATGCCACACCCGGGTATAAGCACAACTCAGCCGCTGTGACCCTCCAACAGCACCCTCTTCTCCTCATCAACCGCTTCTTCCCTGCCCCGCAGCCCACTCGCAAAACTCTTCCTCCTCCTCTTCGTCTTGATCTCCTCCCATCTCCCATTCATCTTGTGCTCAATCGTTCTCTCTCCCTCCCCAAAAATAGGCTTCGCCACATAGTCATAACTCAACCACACTGCATTAACCACCACGCCCATCACCCGCGCCAACCATCCCGGCGCCCGGCCCTTCTCGTCCGCAAAGATCTTCCCGCTTACCAGCATCAGCATCACAAGCGGTGCCCAAAACCCTAAGAAGAGGATCCGTCCCCAGCGCTGGCGTCGTGTTGTCACTGTGTAGGGCCGCAATGCATTGAGGTAGGCCTGGTACTCGTCGGGCAAGGAGTGTTCTTTGGCGCCCGTGCGGAGAAGGTTAAGGTACCGCAAGGAGGGTTGGGCATGCCCGATTTTGCGGACTGCGCCCCGAGGTGCGGTTAGGCGGCCCCAAAGGTCTCGCCAGTTGTTGAGAGGGGGGTCGATATAGGAGGGGCGTAAAGAGTGTGGGCGAGGAAGGGCTTGGTTCCAGTGGTAGAGGGGGGTTGGCGTTTGATGATGACGAGGGGAGGGGATAGCATGGGACGAGAAGGTCCTGGTAGCTTGTACCGGCGCCTTCGGTGGCTACGATTGTGGCCCAGTCGGAGGGTGTGACTTCGTAGACAATGCCGTAGACGCCTTTCGTCCAGATGGGGTCGATGGGATGGTGATCGTCATCGGTTGTAGTGTTGACTGGAGGGACTGGCGGTTTAGCGGGGACTTGTCGGATAGCGGTGTTGGCGAAACATGGCTCTAGGTAGGGGACTCCTGGAAGATTAAAGACAAGGTCCAGAGCTGGCGCGCAGACGTTGATCCGGCTCAAGGGCCGGACTCCTCGCACACCAAGGAACGACTTGGCACACATGTTGGAGCCGTAGGCGAAGTAGAGGATTGTCGCCGGCACGGGGACTCCATCTTTAGGATGAAAATCTTTCGCGAGAATTGGTTCCTTCGGGAATGGGCTGGGACGGGCGTCCGGTTCGTCAAGACGGGCGGCAGGAGTGGACGGAATCGAAGAGATGGGAGGATAAGCTGGGGTACTCCCGCCCTTCTTGGAGCCTCCGTTCGCCTCGTTGCCGTGACCCAGAGCGTGTGGAGCTCCGTTCCGGCGTGGTTCCGCAACCGTCATCTCGGAGGCCGCGTATGCAGAGCATACGGCATACGCCGTTGGCAAGGATTGGCGAAGCGCTGGTGTTGCAATCCGGGGGCGGGATGACGAAAGGGTTGGGAGTCGGGAAGCCGGGTGTTTATAAGTGCCTCGGTCGGAGATGATTTGTCATTTCAGCTGCTTCCCTGAATTTCAGCTCCCCCGGTTTGGTGATGTTGTCACTGCGCTTTACGCCTCTGTGCCGTTCGGCTTGTTTTCGACTTTCAGGGGTTAGTCCCCCAGACCCACATCAACAATTGGCGACAAAATATTCCGACCGTTCCGCTTGGTTTGGAAACGTTTGGAACTGCAGCCAAGATTATTAATCGATTCCTTGTAGCCACACATGATCTGGAGATCAATATCACAGGGGCCGGGTTTAGGCCTTTGCATTTAAGATGGCACTTTCGATGTGTGGGAATGATCTGTCCTATCACCAGGTTGGCGTTCCTGTCAAGGATATTTGTTCAAACGGCACTGCTCACATGTGGTGACATGCTTGACAGGCAGACAGGCCTGAGGAGACAGGAACCTATACCAACGATAACGTGACTTGATCCAGATCAGCAAAGATTTATACAGCGTTCCAGATAATCCATATCTATTCTTCTTGATGCCTACATATGAAAAACTCAAGGCCTTCGACAACCCTACCTAGGTGCTTATACCTTGGGTATTCTTCACTGTCTTTTGTCTCCAGACACACCAACCAGCTGCCACAGCTGCATTGAAAAATTGTGGTTGAGAGCTATAATTGTTGGGGGTTGGGATGCTGTGAATATTGCCACCTGACAATTCTATTCGATGAAACAATTTCAGAAAGCGGAGATTGTACTGCAATGCCAATTATTCTTGGTTGCGCTTTCCTTCTGCTGAAGGTATGGCTAAGTTGCAGGTGGCAGACGTGCTATCAGGAGGAAAGAGCTACAAACGAAAATGTGAACGATCAGGCGTTCTACAGAGTGCAGTGTCCCTCATTTCTGTGGATATGTTACGATGGTGATCTATTCCATTTGTTCTTGACAAGTCTTGATGGTTGTGTTCCAGGTTATGGGACAGGCTTCGACAAACATCGGGGTCTTGGACGCAGGAACTACGCGACTCAGCCTCGTCCTTCTGAGCAATATTACCGCTTATTTACTTGGCCTGCTGTCAGTTAGGGACAATGGACGCACATTCCTGCCGATTGTCGCCCACTCCGGCCTCTGTCGGTCTTCTGCGGGCCGATCTTGCAGAGATGTGGCCTGTTGAACACCCTGAGTCAGAACGCTTAAAGACTCCAGCCCCCGTTTTTCAAGAAAGTTACCTTGACCTGGAGCATGTTCAGACGCCAACGGTTTTCTCACCGAAGATAAAGAAACAAGATCCCCTTGTCGACATGATCATGGGGGTGATAACTCCAACGCCCAAACTACCTATACGGAGTAAACCACTACCAGACGGTCATGATGACCCCTCGAGCCATGACGAGGCCGAAGAAATTCTTCCAGAGACTCATATTTCACCAACAGCTTCTTCACGCAAAACAAAGTCTTTAGAGGTCAAGCCAAAGAGCCGGCTGGAGGAGCAGAACTCCGAGTCGAAGCTTGTCGGCAGTGAGTATGTCCGCGCGAAAGCCTCTTCTCCCGCCCGAGCTACTCGGAGACAAGCAGCTCCAAAGTTTAAGCAAAAAGGGACTTTGAAAATCAACAAGAGGCAACCAGCGAAAGGAACGAAGCAAGATCAAACTTCCCCTGAGTATGATCGCCTGTTGTCTGGCCATGCTGTAACTAAAACCAGGACCAAAAAAAGGGGCAATGACATCTTTGATCTCAGCGATATAACGGAGAGTGATGGTTCTGAGAGACCAAGGAAACGGCAAGCCCAAGAGCAGACAAACCAGGAACACAGTACCACCGATAAGGTTTCAGTCAGAGATCGGGACGGCAACACCATTGCGACAAATAGACCTCGGAGACGCCCCAAAGTCCTAAAGGATCCGATGGTTCTAGAGACTCTCAATCAGCCAGAGATCAAACCGACAACGAATCAAGTTGAACCAAGCAATCCCAAATCAAAGACAGACGTTGGTCATCGCTCTCCTAAGATGAAACTTAAAGCTGAGGCTGAGTGGGTATCGAAGAAAAGCTCAGGTGTGGTTTCAGATTTCTTGACCGACCTACCTCCCTTTGCTCTTCAGAGCTCAGAAGCAGATCAGCGACGTTCGACGTCAGCGTTCATGAACCAATTCGAGCCCTTACTGCCAAAACAAAAGCTAGCGTCCTCACCTCCTATTCTCCACACACAAGTGCACAAGGAGATTATTACGACCGACACAGGAGAAAATGGTGATCATGGTAATGAATGCTCGACCTCTCCTCTCTTAGTTGACCAGGATCCCGCGCACACAGATTCCAAATGTCCAGCAGTGGCCTGCCTTGGAAATCAACCGACCCATCGTGCTGCAGCAGGAAGCTCGGCTGAGAAACCCGATATTAAGGCCGCCGTTTTGCCTTCCATACATCTGGATAATTCATCGAATACCATCAGACGATCGTCCGAACGGCTTAGCAAGGATCCCGTGGCCATTAAGAATGATGCTGTGCGCTCCAATGCCCAGCCTCAAGACACCTCACCGCTGCCAAACTTAAAGGATCCGTCAGCAACAGATGCATTGGCCCCAGAAGAGATGTGGAGGAGAGCAATTGACGATGATTCTCCACCACTGGTTTTACAGAGGCTTACGACTGTAAGTACTTTGTACAAAGTGGCGAATTTTGAGTTCACCTATACTAAGAGCATTGTCACAAAGCTGCTACATCGTTCCTTGAAGCCCAAAGAAGAGATAGTTCGAGACATTGCAGCTGAGTATGAGCAAAATGCCCTACGCATGATTGATAATATGTCTTCCCGTCATTGGGACGAGAAAGAAGACATGTACAATCTTCTCCAACAGGCATCTCGCAAAGCTCTCTCTATCGTAGTTGACGCAGCGTTCGACATACGCACCTTCACCAACAGGCTTCAAGAAGTGGATCTCAGCCAGACGACGAGCATACTCTCTAAATCAGGTCTTGCGGACAAGCTTGGTGTTGCGACACGATCGTTCTACCAGAAGGTCAAACACCACACCGAGACTGGATCGATACATGATTTGATGCCTGATGACTTTAATCCTGTGAGCGACAGCGAATCCCAGAGCGAAGTATTGGACGCTCTTGCGACTACATATCGATTGCGGCTTTTTGACGCCATGCAGCACTCTGATAATCAAGATCCTGATTCAGCCCAGTCAATGGTCAAAGAGGTCAATGACTTCATTGAGAAGTGCTTGGCAGGCGATATAAAAAAAGCGGCACGTCCTGAAGCAAAGCAGAAGCCAAAACCTGCTACACCCCTGACGATAGATGAAGAGTTGGAAGCGGCTCTGAACTCCGCCATGGTCAAGAAGCATCACGAGGCTGACAAGCTTTCAGCTGTGGGGAGTTCTTGAGGACTACCTTTGCTACCTTCCTTTTTACACGTATAATGGGATGAAATCTCTAACAAAATGGGAAGAAGCAGAGGAGTTACCACCCGTAATCTGGAATTGTCGTCAATTGATAACACCAGGCAGAAGAAGCAATTTGCTGTTGCGAGAAGTTGCTAATACTTTGGACCTGTGATCGTAACTCGAGACAATGACCAATCTTCCGTCAAACCTTGTACCATGTCTTGTGACTCTTGAGGTAAGAAGTGCAGATGCAGATAATCTGGGGAAACTGGGGCCCCGGCATAATCCTGGACTAGTGTTGCTAACCAGGACATCGAGTCTTCGGGTATTGGAGATAAAATAATGATTAACACAAAGGAAGATTGGAATTTCAAACGTGCCAATTGCTTGTGGGATTGAACTGTGGCTTGTCCAGGGACAATGCACTCTCACTACAGTTAGCCCCTACCTGAGAGTCCCTCCAAAACAAATTGATATCAACGCCTGGGTTACCGAAAATCATCCATCTCAGGACAAAAGTGATAAACCGGGATGGCGAGTCACACTGCCCAAAGCCAGTATCACGTTGAAACAAGTCGGCCAGCTGGCTCCTGAAAACCGACCCTTCAGCCCGGTCAGACAAGCCGAAACACCACCGAAAGGACGAGTTGTTTCTCATTGCAAGTATTCCGTCATGGATTGAACCAACTCAACAAAACCGAACAAAAGTTACAATATTCTGGCTGCAGGTGGACGGTTGTCCGTCTTTGATATCCGGCTCATTCATGACAGGACCTGATGCGGCTGATGGGAATGTCCCCACATGACAACCGCCCGCGCACTGATGGAGGGTCTAATCCGATCTGAACTTGCTTTGGTTGTGTGCTGGGGCCAGGACCGGTGTCCTGGATCTGCCACAAGGAACGGACACAAAGTAGAATGGATTCTTTTAAGCGGTACAAATGCGATTATGCCTAGAGATGGAGTGCTGAATGGAGACTGCATGGCAGACGTGGTCTCCTCGGGTCGTTTCCTGAGAGCCAAGACAGTGCCCGTGACCAGTTCGTGAGTTAGTGACATGCATTTGGCTGCCAGCCAGCGCAGCAGGTCACTGCCGGTGTGGGTGTTTGCGCGGTTCTTGGGGGTGGCACATACTCGCTCGGAACCTTCGCTAATTTGAGCCACACCTGGGGTGGAGTTTTGGTCCAAGAGACCAGATAAGTTAATGTGTGTCAAGGCCTGCCACTATCAACGGAGAACCAGCTGCTAGCGAGATGGTTTGAATTGCATGATAGCAGTTCAGACTTTAGTAAAAAGTCTGGCTTACCCTCAGAACCGTCGTTTCTGAATAAGAAAGTCAGTATGATGCGTCGTTTGGCTTCTAGGCGTTCTGAGCTCTCTACGCCTTGGCATTGCCCAGACACAGCCACAATCGCCAGCACGGCGCTCCAGCTCCTCCGCAGAGGCCGTGGATCTAAAAAGCTTGCGGGGCGCTGGGTCTTCCCGCGGGCCTCGAGACAAAGCTTCCTGTCCTGTTAATGTTTTTCGGGACTGGACGCCTTCTGCGTGGTGTCTCATCTGTTACAATCTTTCCCCGCAACGTCCGGCGGTTCGACGATAGAATACAACCTCATCCCGTCTTCAATTCCTTGGGCGCCACCAAGCATCTGGCTATCCGATTCCGAAGACTTATATTTTCGCTGCCTTCATCGTAAGTCCTACCACAGTCCCCCCGTTCACCCTTATCTCGCCCTGAGCTTGCCTTCCCCACCACACGAGCCGAGAACTAGTGCCTGCGAAAGGAGCCGAAAGCGCAAACTCCGTCGCTCGCCCCGACAGGTGCTCTGCTCTGCGGTGGCTGATTGTTTCTGTGCGTTCGCGTTTGTTCGCACCTTGCCTGGCTTGTCGTTTCCAGTCTTTCCAATTACCTGACCAGAATTATGGCAACCGTCTTGCTGACAAGCGCTCGCGACAGTATCGTTAATATTTTCGAGCCTTTGTCGTCCCTGTGGCCTCGAGCCAAATCCGCCGTCACAATGCGATTCCGTAGCATGGCTAGGCATCTAAGCGAGAGCGTAAGAGTCCATTTTTGTTTTCTTTCGTCTCTTGATAAATGGGTGCCCTTTTCATCTCTGGTCGCGCAATGGAGATGATGACGATGAAAATGAAAGGGGGTTGGCAAGAATTGGACAATTCCCTTGTGGGATATCAGCTGGAGAGGAACTTGTGGCCGGAAACTGAAAGCTTTGCCCTGGCTACTTGATTGTGTGATACGAGCTGTTGTGTGCCGCTCTTCTCGCAATATGCACCCGAACTGTGTTTGTTAAGGCATCGTGCTGAACAATTGACACAGTTTAGCTCGTCGTCACAGCCATACCTGTCCTGTAAGTTAACTTTTAATATTCTTCCGAGGGGTTCCGAGCTAACGGCTGTTGCAGACCATGACATTCTTCGTACGTCTCTAGCTCCAACCACTACGCTTGCCTCAAGTCCCCTGCTAATACCTGTCGCAGTCACCACCGAGGATATCCGAGCGCTCAAGGGCGACTGGCTAACGGACAACGTGTGTACCCTGGATTGATTGTCTGTCAATGCTGGCATTCGCTAACTATTTTCTAGAACATTGCTTTCTGGGAGGAGTATGTCTCTCACCTTGATGACCGACCTATATGTTCCTAGATTGACTTGAAGGTTCCAGATGGCTTGAGCGTGAGGTTTTGCCTAACTATCCCAAGGCCCGCGTCGTCCTCCTCCGGCCCAGCATAACGTTCCTCTTGATGCAAACGATCGATATCAAGGGGATAAGCAGTGCCCTTCCTGACTTCCGCAACGTCACCCACATCTTCCTCCCAATCAACGACAGCCGCGACCGTGAGCGCGCCGACGGTGGTAGCCATTGGTCGCTTCTGCTCGTGTCTGTCATCGATCGGGTCGCCTTTCATTACGACTCGCTCGGCGGCGCCAACTTCTATGAGGCACAACGGTGTACTGATCGGTTAGGTCGCGTCCTGGGCATCCCACTTCGATTCCATCAGCTCGAGGATTGCCCACAACAGCCCAACAGCAGCGACTGTGGCGTGTTTGTGTGCATCTTGATGCGTCACTTGCTTATTAAGCGCCTGCTCGTGGCTGGCTCCAATGAGAAGGTCTCGATGTCTATGGCTGGAAAGATGATTGACAGCCATGGCGGCCGCAAAGAGATGCTGCGCATCATAGAATCGCTGCGTAAGGAGGGCGAGCGCAGGAGAAGTGCCAGCCCGTATGCGAAGCCGAATACCCCACCGCGGATTGAGTAATATCTCTTCTGGTGTTGAAAGGAGAAAAGAAAGAAAAAATTGTCGGCGGATGGCATTTGCATGTTATGTTGCGTTTGCGTTCATGACTGCATTGAAGCTTAACTTGACGAACATTGGTGGCTTCATCTGGGTTGGATATCGCGGCGTTTGCGAGACAGGGTGTTTGGCGTCGTTGGCATGGCTCTTAAGTGATTGGCTTGTTTCTCTTTGGTTTTGTTGCGGTCAATGTCACTAGAATCAGCTTGCGGGTGGATGGTATATGAGCAGATGTTTTGGGATGATGCTAGACAGTAGGATGAATGGGCGACAACAGAAAACGGTAGAAAGAAGTGGCTAGAATTCTGGTAGCTTTGATGGGTATATCTTAGTTCTGCTCCTCAATATGATATGTCGGATATCCCTGAACGCCAACATGACCACCGCACTGGGCCGTACTATGCAACTAAACTGAATACAAAAAAGTTGGAATTAAGAAGTCTTGTTTATGAAAGCAGGGTTTTGCTCCATGGTAGCAGCAATGAACCCTCGCAAAGCTGCCCATCGACTCGACACGCCTGATGTCGCAGACGGCGCCGTTTGTTGCTGCTCCTGCGCTGGAGCTGCCTCTCCCATCTCCGTATCCACTGCTCCGCTCTCTGAGATCTTTTCGGTACCGCTTACCGTGCTGCTGCTCGCAGCTCCCGTAGATGACGAAGATGCCTTCGAGATGATTGCCAATTGCGCCAAACTCTTCTTGAACCTCTCCATCTCTCCCCTGACAATCTTCTCCTTCTTCTTCAGCGCGCCAGGCTTCGGCCTCAAGCTCTTCAACCGGATTTTTCCCTGCGCGCGCTGCGTCTCGTCCATCGTCTCGCCGTCAGCTCCATCGGCAGCCTCTCGCGCGTCCATCTCAGCCTTGATATCATCAAGCGCATCCTCCAGCGACTCCAACGTTGCGACGAGCTTCTTATTAGGCCGCCTGCGCTTCTTGTTCTTGTGCGCGCTCTTACCAGTGTTGGTCTTGTCCGCATTCTTGATGATCTTGTTGACGAAGGCGCTGTGCTTGATCAGGAGCTTGTCCTTCTTCGAGTTAATGAAGCGATCTTCCACAACGTTGTCTTCGCGGTGCAGCTTGCGCGGGAGTAAGGGGTCGGCGAGGCGCATGCGCGCCTTTTCGCGCGCCGTAAGCCTCTTGCCTGGAGTTGGGGCGGTTTTGCCCTGGGGATGGAAGGTTAGCAAATGGGACAAGGGCGGGGGAGTTGGGGAATGGAGAACATACCATTATGAATTACGTGTGAATTTAGTTTTATCCTTAGTTAAGACTAAAATAAGCACACGAAAGCAGTCAATGCTTCAACTGTGGCAACTGGCGACTCTGCATTTGCTGAAGTGGTTTGTTGTTCGAGTCGAAGGCGGTGTTGTTGTGGTAAAGCAGATGGCTGCCAACTGCTGGACTTTTTTGTGGGTCTGTTCTTATCCAGATGTGGGGCTACGGGGCTCTGGGCAGGTTCCCAATGGCTGGGCGGGGCCGACCGAGAGCCATGCCAAGACCTACCCCACGATGGTGGGGGAGGGGCAATATATTCCTGGCTCCTGAGCGCTCACCTTCATAGAAGCGACGGGAAGACAACAGAAGGGGTAGGGTATATGAAAACAACTCGAGTTCGTCAAGCAGCAAGAGGGCTTACTTTGTCATTTTCACATTAAATCTCGGAACCATAACCACATATATAGGGAGGAAAAGGACCGCAGGGAGGATCTGTAGGCTCACAACAGTGAAACGCCCATACCACTTGTCTTGCACACATACCTGCATCTTACTCTCGCGAACCAACGATATCGACTACTTGAACCAAGCCTTGAAAGCGGAGCTCGCTGCCAAACATGGGGTCTACTCAGAAAAGCCTATCGAAAGAAGAGATTGAGCGCTACTCGCGCCAAATGATTGTCCCCGGTATGGGGAAGGAGGGTAAGGTTCGTCTGGTGCCATCCCAGGGAGAGAGCCGAAGCTAATACATGGAATAGGCCAACTTCGTCTCATGAACGCCAAGGTCCTCATTATCGGCGCCGGGGGTCTCGGCTGCCCAGCTGCTCAATATCTTGCCGGCGCGGGCGTGGGCACCATTGGCATCGTCGACGGCGACTCGGTCGAAACATCTAATCTCCACCGGCAGGTCGCCCACGCTACGAAGCGTGTCGGCATGCTCAAAGTCGACAGCCTCATCACTCACCTGATCGAGATCAACCCACTCCCCGTCTACGTCCCCTATCGCTTCGACCTGACCCCGCAGAACGCTGCTCAAATTATCAAGCCATGGGATGTCATCCTCGACTGCACCGACAATCCGGCTACGCGCTACCTCATTTCTGACGTCTGCGTACTCCTGGGCAAGCCGCTGGTCTCCGCAGCGTCAGTGCAAAAATCCGGCCAGCTCATCGTCCTGAATTGCCCGCCGACTCCGCAAGGCGTGGTCAACAAGAAGGCTGCGCCATGCTACCGGTGCTGCTTCAAGAAGCCCCCGCCGCCCAGCGCACAAACATCATGCGGTGAAGCGGGTATCATGGGACCTGTGGTTGGCATGATGGGTGTCGCGCAGGCCGGCGAGGCGATCAAAATTTTGGTATCACAGCTGCATATGCCACCAAAGGAGGGCGAGGAAGTGTCTCCTGAGAAGAATCTGGTTCAGCCGACGCTGCTGATTTATACCTATGATCTGAACAGCGCGATTGGGCCGTACTCCTTCCGGGCACTCAAGATGGGTGGGAGGAAGAAGGATTGTTTCGCTTGCGGAGAGAACTCGACTCTCACGCTGGATGGGATTAAGTCAGGGAACCCGAACTATGTGCAATTTTGCGGCAACATGACGCAAAGCACGAATCTTGCCCCGGAGGATCGAATCACAGCCACGGCGTACAATGAGAAGAGGAGAAATGGAGAGTTAGGAGAGCATATCCTTCTCGACACCCGTGAAAAGGAGCACTTTTCCTTTGGCAGCATCCCAGGAGCTGTCAATGTACCATTTAGCAAGTTTTTGGTCAAAGCGTCCTCCATTAAGAGAGAGGGCAATTCTCCCGCTGAACTTTTGCCCATGCAACCTGCAAGCGACGAGGCACCTATCGTTGTCGTCTGCCGGAGAGGGCAAGATTCTCAAGAGGTCGTTGAAAAGCTCAAGGAGCTGGGGCTGGACAATGGTGGAAAGCGCAAGATTATGGATATTGTCGGTGGTATGAAGGCCTGGAGGGACGAGGTAGACCCAGACTTCCCCTTCATATGACACCGTATCGTACAACATCTTCGATGACAGTGTACCAAGCATCAATGTTTTCATATGGATATACCCAGGTAGGGAAATGTCAAGCGAAGATCGTTGCTTATGATCTGTTCATTCTTATACGACTATGTTACAACCCATAAGCAAGCCCCTTGAACGCCGGATGGAAGTGGGATAGCAAGGCAAACCTGGAGCAAGCAGCCCAGCCTGCCAGCAAACTGTTTCCTACATTCATATCAGCCCTTGAGCAGCGTTGGACCTCATAATACACAAGTAGAACGTGCCAGTTTTGCACTTTGCTACGCTAGATTGCCCCCTCCTTCTTCTTGTTAAAGGCTCTCTGGTCCCTCAGCCACTGCCGGTAGCCGGCCACGCTGGAGATCTTTTCGCCATAGAAATCGGGTACTGTGTCCTGTTAGAAGCTGTCCAAGAAGACAAATGAAAGGGATACAAAACTGACCCGGATTTCTCACTGAGCTCGCGCTCGGATCAACACGATGCTTCTTAATCCTGGCAAAAAACTCGCTCTCCTTGATGGCCATCGGCCCCTTGTACTTGCTCTTGAGCGTATTGAAAACAGCCGTGCCCAGGCTAGGTCCCACTAGCCAGCCCAACGCCGCGCAGCTCAGCGTCAACAGGCCAAGAGTGATAAGGGGATCCAAGGGGATCTGCGACACAACGCTGTCGGCCATGCCCGTGCTAAGGAACGCCGCGCCGCCAAATCCGCCAGCCACAGAGCTGAGAATGCTAAAGGCAGACTGCCACCTACGGCGCGCCTTACGCAACTGGAAGAATGTGTTCCAGTCCAGCACCACTTGCTCCGGGTGCGCCGCCTTCGCGGCTTTGGCGGCTTCCTCAGCAGCCTTGGCATCTATTTCGGCATCTGGAGTCGCCGCGCGCGGGGGTTGACTGCGAGTTGAGGAGTGGCGACGGGAGATGTTAATGGTGAGTGACTTCGCGGCGGCATAGGTGATGACGGTAGGGCGGGTTGAGAGAAGCCGGAGCTGGAGCGGTTTGGATGGGGGGGGGCTTGTGCTGAGGAAAGGAGACATCGTGGTCAGCCCAGCCGAGTAGGGGCAGGTAGCACTGCGCAAAAGGGCTGGCTGCAGACCAGCCGAGCGGCCGGCGCTCGCGCGAAGCATCGTCGACGCGGTCGAAGGAGGGAGCATCGTGGTCGCAAGCGCTCGGGTTACCTTGCGGGAGCAAAAAAGTTCCGAAGGCGCTAGCGGGGTCGTTATTTAATACTTAAGTTCGGATGGAATGGAGCAGATGGGATTGAGAATGAGCGGAGAGGGGTACCGGCACCGTCAATTAGAATGGCAACGCAGACAAGTATAACCTTTCAGACAAAAGCAATTTGTCTGGCGAAGGGGTGCCGTATGATGGAATGTTTGTGAAGCTCCATGTGGTGGGGACAAACCGCAGCAGCTTTGAGACTCGAACTTGGGGCTGGGCGATTTGATAAGAGATAAGATATGATAAAAGATAGTGGTCAGGTATGCCAAGCAAGCATGTGCAAAGGTCAGCTGCGACCTTCCGGTTGCTCCATACTATGAACCGGCTCCACACCCGTTAACCTCGACCCAACACCTTTATCACGGTAATATCCATATTAACACCCATCGTCTTAGGACATGTCGTCTCTTCTTCCGCTCGTTTTTGGGATTCAATGAATGGCCGGTATTACTGCCTACGATATTCAAACCCCTACCTCGTCGCGCCTCCATCTCGACGCGCGGCGCTTGAAGCTTGCACCGGTCAATTACCCATCTCCTGAACGTGTTGCGCCACGATTCGCGGTACCTTGAGAGCTTGCGCCATGGAGACCAAAAATGTCACCCAGCCACGCTATCGCAAGGTTGAAATCGAGATCCCCCTCCCATCCATACGACGGTATAAGCCCGGCTCTGGACCTCCTCCCCCCCAGATATCCTTACTACCACCGCGCGACTCGACTGCATACATCATCGACCAGTTCGTTTTGCCTACCGACGAGGATGCCACTCTCACGTCCCGGCGACTCATATACTACCACGTCGGCTTCACAGACCTACCGCACGTCAAGATCCTCCTCCCATGTACTGAGGTGTTGGACTATGTTTCACCTCGTGAGCTCGAGGAATGGGAGTACCACAATTGGGAGCGAAAGATGAAGGAGAGGGTACGCAAGCAAGAAGAAACGAAGCGCACAGGACGTCCACGTAAGAAAAGAATTGTTGAGGCTTCTGAGCCACAGGCCAAGACTGCCAATGCTCCAACATTAAGCTCCGCAGACGACGCGCTCTTGCTCTCTCGAGAGGTTGCCGGCCCTTCGTTATCAACACCGCAGAAAAGAAAACTCAGTGCGATGCTGGAGGAGGAGAAGACCGGAGAGATGAGCAATACTGAAGAGTCGGATGGCAGTGCTGTTCGCCGACAACTTCGAGGCGATTTGGTCATCGAAGGTTCTGAGGAGACGGGTGAAGACTTGGGGTCGGAGTCTATGGATCAGTTTGCGCTCACACACGACGACACTATCGGGGCCACATCACTTCGTGCAAACAGTGCGGCTCCTATGATGCAGCGCAAATATGGCAGCACTTCCGCGGCCCAACAGGCTACTTTCGTGTCGCAGGGATCGACAGCTGAGCTATCGACTCTCCCAGTCACCCAAGTCACACCGACCAATACTTCCAGGCAAACATTAACTCCTAATCCCAGGCCAAATTCTTTGTCAAATGAGTCAGTGCCATGGACTGCAACCCCGCGCGTCAGCCAAAGTCAGGGAAATGCGCCGGTATTGTCCACGGCTAAAAAGAAAGTAAGGCCACCAAAGTTGAAGGATTCATTAGCGAAACGACGACAACCCCCGTCTACCAAAAAGAAGCAAAAGGCCACTGACCCAGAACCCGAGCCGGAAGACGACGAATGGGAAGTCAAAGGGCTTCTCGACGATAAGTGGTTCCTCGGGGATGGAGTCAAGGTTCACAAGTACCTTGTCCTGTGGGAAGGCGACTGGCCGCCTGATCAGAACCCGACGTGGGAGCCAGAAGAAAACATACAAGACCAGGCGCTCATCAAAAAGTACCAACAAAAGAAGGCAGCCGGGTTACTCAAGTCTTCGCCTGTCAAGCGGCAGAAGACGCTGCGCCACTTCCTCTCGTCAACTCCGTACCGCACTGTCGCGGAGGCGTTTGCGGGGGGCATCGATGAGCAACCGCCACCTGTGATCCAGGACACAGATAGCGAGGCGAAGCTGCCTGAGGAGCAGTTCTTCGTGACCGAGAATCTCGGGAGTGTTGGCCCTGCCAATGAGTCTAGGCCATCGGTGACGAAACCCAAGTCGGGATTTCAGGTGTTTGACAATACGTTGGCTCGGTACAACCGGACTTTTTCGCGCTGATGGAGGTACCTCACCATCAAACTAAGGAGGAACGTAAAGACATGAAAGGACTTGGTGAGGAGAGTGCAAACGCCCTTACGGTCACAGGAACACAGGGCGTGTCGTGGTGTGGGGGGTGAGTGGGGGGAGACGAGGAAACGCACCACGCTGTTTGCGCCGTTGCACGGAGACCAGGATGGCTAAACAGAGAACTGGGGATAGCATGCTTGGTATTACACGATGATGATGCCAATCGATCCCGAACCTCCGACCACTCGGCACTCGAGGGACTCGAGCAAAAAGAGTTGCGGAATTGATGCTACCAACTTATTACTACCTACGTATAGGAAGGTAGCGTACCAAGTCACGCCCTGCGGCCCGTTGTCACAGTAGCCAAATGCTGCGCATCAAGCGGGCCAGTCGTTTGCAATGCAAATACCATTAACGTTCGCTGTGTAAACTCCGATCTAGCGTACGGGACACTATGAATAACATACCAGATTACGTACAAAGCTCAGACCTCAAATCTTTGGTTTGGAATTGCTGACTACGAGTGCTATCCTCCAAACTAAGAGCTATCAGCTGTCTTCGTAATTTTGGCAGCTCAACGCCTCAGATTCCCCAGGTAAGCATAATCCCTAGAATGTAACGGACGTTACGGACAAAAAACTGATTGAATTTATGCTTGATGGCTCAATATGCCTTCCAATAATGGCTGCGTGAGCTTCAGGAATCTTTGTTTTGACCTTGAAACCCGTCTACCTCTAGGAAGCCTCTTTTCCCTGACCAATGTGAACCCATCTAAACAATCTCTGTAACCTGGCAAGCAGAAAGTAGAAGCCAAGAAAAGGACAACTAAACAGCATATCCAAACAAGGATGCACCAAGAAACCCAAACATTCAAGATATTACCTTCCCCTAGCCCTCGCCTCCTCAGCCAACCTCCTCTCTACCCTCAGCACACCTTCCATCCCCCTCCGAATCTCCTCCACCTCCGGTCCATCCTTCATAAGCGGCTTAAACGGTAACCGAGGTACCGCACACCCTCGTTCCGCATCCCCATGGAATATAGGCATCGCCGCCTTCACACCCACAAACCCGTACCGAATCGCCAGCCAGTCCCCTTTGGCAACTTCGTGTTGCAGCGTCCGTGCCTCCTTAATACGCCCTTGCTCCCATAGCTCGAAGATGCGCACGCACGCCCGGGGGGCTAGGTTCGCGAAGCCGCATATTGTGCCGTGCGCGCCTACCACCAGGCCCTGAAGGATGAAGTCGGCTGAACCGCCTGCGATGAAGAACTCGGAGGAAGCGGTACCGGCAACCAGGCGGGCGAGTTTGCCTGTATTGCCACAGGTAAGTTTGACGCCCACGATGCGCGGGTGGGAAGCGAGGGTCAGCAGCGTGTCAGAGTCGAGATCGAGGCCATTGGCGGCCGCTGGGAAGTTGTAGATGAGGATAGGGATAGGCGAGCGTGAGGCAATGGTCGTGAAGAAGTCAATGACGGCTGGCTTGGTCAGAAGCGAGGCATAGTAGCCGGGAGGGAGAATGATGGCGTGGGTAGCGCCCGCTTCGTAGGCTTCGATGCAAAGCTCGAGAGTTTCACGGATGGATTGAGCGCTGCAGCCTGCGATGATGGGGATTGGCCTGTGGAGGTCGGTTTTCTCGTGGCGGACGGTGTCGGCTACTGCCTTGATGGTTGCGCGGCGTTCAGCGCGGGAGAGGTGCACTGCCTCGCCGTTTGAGCCGTGGACGACCAGACCGGAGACACCGGCGGCCAGAAGACGGGCTGTGTGCCGCTGGATGGCGGGAATGTCCAGCTCGTCATCCGGAGTGAAGAAGGCCGGCATGGGAACATAAACGCCGTTGGGCAGAACGGTCGGACCGTCATCTTCCTCCATCTGATCCATTGCGTTGAGCAGACTCGTAGGCGTGAGGGGGTTGCTGATGCTTAGCTGAAAAGACTCCATTGTTGATAGTCTATACTGATAATGTCAGCGGAAGATATGAAGAGAGTATAGTGCGGAGAGCGTTGAGAGTAAACGTCCGTCAACAAATAAAGGCAACGACACAGCATTGCGATGAACCAGCTGGAGTTTGGCGGGTAGGTATTTATACAGACTAAAGGCAAACAACATCAACCCTGTCTTGCCGTCGCCAACTGGAGCAGGGTGATTTGAGACAAGGGTTCGCCGGTGAAGTGGAATTACAGCAGCCGGGAGGACAATGTAAGGAGACATCTCTGTGGCCTTTCCGACCTCACTACCCAGGACCCCTGGAGCCGGGTAACTGATCCGGGGCGCATCACCGCCATTGTTTGGAAGTTCGGGATTGCCCAGCGTGGGGGTCTGAGATTAAGTGAGATGAACGATAGGACGAGAGAAGCCCAGGTCTGTCCAGGGATGGTAGTTGCACAAGGCTCTAAACGGCCAAGAAGGCAGCAATCGGCCCCTTTCGGGGACTCAGGGACTCTCTCGGGGCCTGAAGGCAGTGTTCTACAGCCTCAACGTCATCACCCAGGGGGATCGTGCGTGGCATGTCCAAGGCCATTTGACATGATCACAAGACCTCTCCGAGCCCCAGGCGGTCCCGATAGCTCATGTTTGCCAGATATGACAGGTCGCAAGATGGCCGGAACAGGGGATTTTGCTGTTCGTTCAGGCCCGAGACACAAGAGAATCTGCGGAGAAGCACGTTGCACAGCGTTGTAGCGGGAACGCAAACACCGTCTGCGAGGATTCTGAAGCCTGGACGAGGAGAACCTGATAAGAGAAGCGCCAAACTGCAGAGCTGGAGCCTGGCATTCCATTCTAGAAAGGAAAGAGAGTGAGCAGGCTGACAACCTGAGAAGAAGAACCTTAGCTGGCCGTGACTTCTGTCACGGGTCACAACGGGTGTCAGTGGAAGCTTCCTGATCGGGCAGAACCCCCCACGTTTCAGGGTCTGGACTTTTGTCACCCGGCAGTCAGCGGCATGCAGGGGCCACGGCGAGACAGGCCAACCAGAGCCTATTCCGTTGCCGCCATTTGCATTGCCGTCCCCACCAATTCCAGCAGCTTGGTTCCTCCGTGGGGCTTATTGAGGGCTGCACGTTCGAACATTTGTCGCACAAAAAACGCTTAAATTCACTCCAGTATCGGGACGATGTCTTTGGGAGTGGCCTCCTGTGTTGTCTCAACTACAGAAATCATTCCTCTTGCTGCCAACAGTCACCGCAAAAAAAAAAATAGGAGAGACTTGATATTTTTTTGGATTTGTCCCACATTCCCCCAGATCCCCAGATGATGATCTACTTATAGCTCCAGGCCTAACCTCTTATGGGAACAGCTTCAAGACCCTTACCTTCAAGGTTTGCGACGGGCGGTTATGAGTCTTACTACTTCATTTGTTGCATTTGTTACGATTTTTACTACGTCTCATGAATACCATGCAGAAAACGGCGTGCATCTATTCCACAAACATAATGCCATCCACGTTCAAGTTGTCGGCGTGCAAAATGACTGATGTTTGTATGTCAGCGCATAGACTCCAGAAGTTACATTCCAGCCTGGGCGATGAGACGTTGTCATGTGCCCAGCGTCTCCATCATATCAAATTTCCTTCCCCTGCATTACGACAACACTAGCGCTTGATGGCCGTTCACGGGACTACAAAAATTTTGTATCCTGGACTTAAACAGTGTCCCTGATCAGTACTCTGTTACATAACACAATCCCGGTCATAGCTGTGTGTAACCGTGGGGTTAAGAAGGGGGAGCTGACAACCAGCATCACTGTCTATTACTGTCTCGTCAACCCATGCCTTAGACTTTTTCGGTTCAAGAGCGGACTGCATATCAAGCCTTAAAAAGGGTAGAAGTTGGGGGAGAAAGTCTGTTCTAGAAGTCAGCTTCCGACATTTGAGGCATAACTAGGATGGGGGCACCAACTTAGTATTGTTCTTCAGAGCATCACAATGGCGGTTATGAGGATGAAGAAACGATAGACTTCTGAATTATGACTGGAATGGCACTGCTAAATCTGCGCACCCCGCTGGTCGCTGAACGTTGTTGGAGCCTGGAACTTATACGGAGCCCCTTGCAATCCCTGCCATGTCATCGAATCGTGGTACGTGTCTCCGAAGCATGTGGTTTGACACATCAACATGGAAATCTCCACTGACTTCTATGGCATACCTAGTCAACACCAGTAATGACTCCTTGACTTCAATAGATTAACATTATCATTAGAATCCATAAGAAACCATGACATGCATAGGACATAGGTACATAATTATCAGACGTCATTATGGTTCAAGTCAAGGCATTGACAAACCCACTTCCACTGCACCTACCAGGATTCCTTTCCGGCTCAACCTCCTGGAATTTCTCTGGACTGGATGACTACATCTCTGATATCCAGTTGGGCTCTTTCTCTGCACACAAGTTTGGTGTATACTTCTCTCTGCGTAGCACGTCCCCGCAGGAAGCAGTCTGCGATGGGGATGGGGCGGTCAGATAGCGTCACAAGAGCTTAATCTTCACACTCTTTAACCTTCGTTGTATTGCTTCCTCCTGCCCTGTGGTACAATCGAGTTGTGGTCCTCTCGTGGGCCAAAAGCCTCGAGACGGCCCGAAATCTCCTCAGATGAGGTGACCATAGCCTGGCGTAACTCACACACCAAGTGCATTAGAGGCATGAGATGGGTGTAGTAGGCTTGTGAGACCAGACACCGTGGCATGTAACGCATTGGATACCATTCGGTTGCGCGGAGAGACGGTATGTTGCTGGTCATTGCCAGCAACTCAATGTCCCACGGGTAAAGTGGAGTATCTTTATCAGATATTGGAGACTTCCAGTAGTTGTTGTCACTCTGTCGGCTCAGGCTCTTGAGCATGGACAGACTTTGGGCCTACTGGCAAAGGGTGCTTGAAGAAGGTAGAAGTGCTCAAGAGATGGAAGGCTGGCGAAAAGGCTGAGCAGTGCAGACTCGAGCTTTATCAGTACACCAGCGAGCCTGTCGAGATTGAAACATTCAGGGGCCTGTGGCAAGAGATCAAGGCCGATATGCAGAGTTTTGCTTAACTTCTCACAAGGGTTGGAACCTATCACATACTTTGTCCGGACCGTGCTCCACAGGAGATCATCGCCAGTATTCGTTGAGTTGGAAAGCAGGTTTGGTGACAAGTCCGCAACTATGATTGAGATCGCGGGACAAGCTGCAGCGGAGGATGCCATCGCCTTGGAGAGGAAGCGCCTCCGGGACAAGAACCAGGTAATTTAATACTTCACTTCGGGCTTCAGCACATGGAGCAATGAAGTTGTGAGTACTGAGTGTTGATTCCTAGAGTCGTGGCGTTGGTACGAGCTGCAAGCTGACCATTCCACAGGGGCTGAGCGTCGGCATGATACAAACTTGAAGGATTTTTCGTTGCTGATATGGTGACATAGCAACTTTCCTCCATATTTTCTGTCGTATGTCGACGGGGAACATGGCAAACAGAAAAAATTCTCCCCGAGAGCAGCACTTCGAACAGCTCGCGTTGATGGGTGGACTCTGCGCTGTAAAAATAACGTGGTCTGTATTGGCTATAGGCTTGGAGAATGGGTGGGCAAGAACATGCATGCTCATTTGTGAAGTGTATTTGGCTAGCGCCATGATAACCTCTTTTGCTGTTAAACATGGCGTTGATGCCCTGGCTTCAACATCAGAATGACAACGAATCCACACGTTTAGTTGCGTTATGATACCGGATCATCTTTCGATTGTGTGCACCCCAAAGGAGTTTATGCCTTTAATAAAAAGGGCAGCTAAGCGCAGCGTCTTGAAAAGCATATTCCTTACTTCTGATAGCCTGCATGGCTACCGCTATAATTAATGAAATTAGACCGCCTATCTGGCATGACGGACCCGCTCTCAATGAGCAAGTCACAAGCAATTGATGATCGTGCTTACATGGGACAGGAAAGTCAGCTTATCATGTCACAACGTCGCGAGATTCCCATGAAACGAAACACGCTTTGACAGTTGAGCCGATACACATTACAGTGAAACTTACAGCCACCACATGGTGGCTGCCTGCTTTATATTCCGAGAAATAATGTGGCGATTCTGGTACGACGACAATAGCTGAATATGCTCTTTTCAAGACAGATCATAGTGTCAACGTTGGTTGAGGATTGTTAGTCCATACTGAAGTTTAGCTCATTTCTCAATGGAACACAGAGTACAAAAAACATGCAATCCTCCACTTATTTTGCCTTGAAGCTGCTGTCCAAGGGAGAACAGCTAGATAATGGAGCTGAAACTTTTGGAATCTTCAATGCCATCTCGGTTCCGATAATGGTCGCATGCTTGAGGTAGTCAGCTTCAAAACCTATAGATTCATGAAGCCACACTGCAACAGAGCCGAAGATCGCGAAAAGCGGTAAGTTAGAAGACTTATTCTTTTCGTATTGGTGAGAGCATGTAACCTACCTTAGCACCGTATACCTGTCTTAGGGTTCCTGCAGTCTCAGAACCGGGGGAAAGGTGATCCCTTTTGACGTGATCGGCTCTGTGTATTTCTGCTCAGGGAGGGCGAAGGCTCTTTATCATGCTTCCTGGCAAGATGCCAAAACAGAATGTTCTGGACGACTCGGCACCTCGTGTTTTCAATCAAGGCTGACAAGGGGTCGCACCCCCTATATACAGATCCAAAATCCTTCTGCCAGGGGAGGAGAACTAGGGACAAGTTTGTCGACTTTCAGATGTGTTGGGCCGGCGCCAAGAGTATGTTGATGAACTATCTGGAAGGGAGAAAGATGCTGCATGAAATATTTCGTCGAGCGTAAGATGCTTATAATCCCGGAAGCCAAAGGTTCCAAGAGGAAGTGATCGACATTGGCAGCTACAACACAATAACTTGGAGAGCAAGCCTTGCATGAGCTTCAGCTCCATTTCAATCTCGAGTAACAGTAAAAGTAATACCTAAGAGAAAACTTGCTTCTGG